TTGTTAACCATTGTCATAGGGCAACATTTGTAGTAACTGTTAAATGAGAAACTATTTTGTTCTGTAAGCCTTCATCTTAAGTGAGAATAACAGAACAATTGGAAGAGCGTAGTCAGTGTCACTGAACTGTGCATGTAAAAATTTTTGAAATGGTGTATCTTTGGCTATGTGTATTTTCACCAAAAAAAAAAAAAAGAGGTTGAGATTAGAGGGTTGATGTGTTGTGGGGTTGTTAAGCAATGTTATAAAATAACATGTGTACTTCTGTTTCATGAGAAACTATTTGTTCTGTAAGCCTTCACCTGACGTACAATAAAAAAATTAAAAAAATTTTCCAGCACTCATTTCTTGAATTAACTATGAAAGCCAGACCTGGGGGGTTGCGACTGAATTGGGGGAGAAACCTTGAATTACACTAGCAGATGCTAAGGAGAGATGGCTCCAGGTTATTCAACTTACTGAGATAAAATCAGTTGTTGCCACCTGGTTTCAAACAAGAGAAAAGGGCTTGAAGAAAACCAGAAAGGATTTAGATGAACTTCCCTTTCATTCATTTTCTCATTAATTTATCAATTGCTATTGAATCTTCCAATCATTTTTATAAGGGGAACCTGGGGATGCAAAGGCTAAGTGCTTAGCTGCTAACCGAAAGGTTGGCGGTTTGAAACTTACTGAGTGAGAAAGACCTGGAGATCTGCTTTCGTAAAGATTACAGCTTAGAAAACCCTATGGGGCAGTTCTACTCTGTCACATGGGGTCGCATGAGTCAGAATCAACTCAACGCACACATCAATTACAACAACCATTTTTTATAGGCACTGGTGGTACAGCAATGGGCAAGATGAGAACAGTCTCCACGTTCAATGAAATTACACTCTCGAATGCAACCTTTGCTTCTGGCCATGATGGATTAATAGGAACTGGATTTACCCTCTTACCTTAAACAACTACAACATTAGGCAAAGTATATGAAATTTCGATGTTCAGACCGCAGGCAGTGCAGGATAGTGACCCCTGAAAGAAAGAATACAAATGAGGTGAGCCTGACAGTCCCCAGCTCATTGCCCAGGCAGTTTCCAGGCTACAGTGCAGGGAGGGTGTAGCGGGCTGGATGGTGGCCCTCTGTGGTGCAGTGAATTACTTAATACGGCCCTCCTAGCTATGCTTAGTCTTGTGACTCCCACAAAATGATCGGGTGGGACTGTGCAAATAAGGTGCTTGTGACTCACCAAATGGATTGGATAGCATTGCTAATAATGCAAATAATGTGCATGGAACCCCTGCAGAGGTGGGGCCATGCAGATAAGGTATATAGAACCCTAATGAGGGGATTGGTCAGTTTTGCCATCTGGTTAGGCTTAAAGATAACCAATCCCAGAACCAGGAGGAGGAGGGAGGTTACCTCATTATCACCAAAAAGAACGGCCGGGAGCAGAGTGCATCTTTTGAACCCAGGGTCCCTGTGCTGAGAACCTCCTAGACCCAGGAGCTAGAAAGAGCTGTAACACCAGAGATGTCGAGAAGCAATGGCAAGCAAGCACAGCAGAATCCAGCGGCGGAGAAACAGCAGCAGCAGAACCAGGAGACTGACATGAGACAGCTGTGCTGGGCTTCTCGGCCCATGGAGGGAGGCGACTACGGCAGGTGTGCCAACCCACGGAGCGAGAGAGCTGAGCACCTTTGGGCAGGAGGTTTACTGGTGGAGTGGAGGTGTAATCCATACTGAAGTCTGTAGTCTTCAATCTTCATCAATAAATGCTTCAAGTCCTCTTCACTTTCAGCAAGTAAGGTTGTGTCATCTGCA